AGTTACTGAAACTAGGAAATCTTCTGTACAAGAATCCATGAGACTGTACCCTCTCTTGGAAGTGTAAGCAGCCACAAAACACACTAAACTGACCATCTGTTCCTCTCTGATAACATGTAATTAAGTAATTTATTTATTCAGCATTTAAACCCTCTCCCTTCTCTTATTAGTCAAGGATGATTATGCTAAAGCCAGACGTAGTTAGCATATTGCACACTCAAGTGAGCCATGTCCTTATAAGCACATGGCTTGCCTTCTGGCTATCCACCTTCAACATCTCAGCTGCCTTGAAGATCCTGATTGCTATCCTCTCCTGTTCTCGTGAGCTGGTCTAAAATTAAAGCATTTCATATGGCAATTAACTGAAAAACACAAGGAGCTGTACACTGTCTTGTGGGCCGCAGTAACCACACAGATCTCTTATGTACACATCTGGCTGGAATTTCTTCCTTTCTGCAGGATACAGGGCTGCTGATGACGTCAAGCCAGATCAGAGCATGTTACCGAAACAAAACCTCCTTCAGTATGAAAACCTGTTATTTGCCAGCTGCCACCATTTCTGAGGTGTTCTAGTAGCCTTCTGGCCACCTGCTGGGCTTCCCGAATCTTCCAAGCATACAAGAAGGCAACAGCTACCTAGGACTGTCTCTCCTGGCAAGGCCTCTTTGCTCTTCAGGAAGATATGTGTGGAATTCCCAGCCTAACGCTCAGGTAGAAACCTGAGCATGTAACAACCCGCCACAAAGGTAGAGCCAAAAACAAATGCTGTATCCTGATATACTGAAAAGCACATGGCATTCAGTACAGTCTTACCTACTCACATCAAATCAAAAAAAATAACAACCAAGTTTCACAGTCTAACTTTTTCCTGCTGGTCTCCCTGGTTCTTCCAGTCCTTCAGCCCTGTAATTCTGGCTGAAGCTCCCCTTTAGTTCACCAAGTGCACAGCTAGCAGACTTCATTACTCTCACACCCTAAGTGTGAGTTCTTTCCCTTCCCTTACAGCTCTTAAAGATTTTATATTGTAACCTCTGGATGGGGACAGTTTTAAAGCAAGACATTTACTGATCAAACCAGTGTTTTGCACTTTTTGTTTTCTTTTTTAAATTAAGCTGTATTGGAAAGCAGTAATTAAAAATAGGAACTCTTGGCAAGTTATTGCAGTCCTGCCTCATAAAGAGACCCACCTGAAGTCATGAAAGTAACCAACAAAGCCTATGTGCATTTCTATGCTGCACAGAGACAGCCCTTCCCCTGAAAGGTCCTTTCCAAGACAGCAAGTTTCCAACTGTAGTGGCTTCAGCAGTAGCCTTCAGGAAGCAATTAGAGAATGAGTCCAGGTTTTCAGTGGACTGAGTTCTCTACGATAAAGGTAGATATGATGGAAGATTTGCTTTGAGTAGCAGCAAATTCTTATTTTTTCCCAGGAAAAGAAGTTCAACTTAGATGTCTTTAGATAAGGTCAAATCTTTGTTTTAAAGGCTTGATTTATGACATTTTAACAACCATTATTGGCATTTCTTTGAGACGCCAGAAAGCCCTTGACTCCCATATGTGTTTAGCCTTTTTTCTATTTGCTTTTAGTGTTTATTAAAGCATAAAGGCTGGACTGAACTGTTCATCTCGCCTGTAAACTGAGAAGAACAAGCTCCCATAAAGCTCAGCAGCTTACTAGCATTTGTCTTGCAGACTCATACATGATGAAGTCCAATTACTGCTCTGAAAGTATAACAAGTATACAAATGTAAGAACTCTGAAAAATGCATTTTTAAACTTTTTTGTTGTTCTTTTGTGGCTTTTTTTTTTTAATTATCTTACTGTCAAGTTACCAACATATTATTTCCATCTTGTACACACTAGTGTGTGCTTGCTCCCCACATGGGATGGAAAATGTAAAAAAAAAAAAAAAAAAAAAAAAAAAAAAAAAAAAGAATCAAACAAACAGAAAACATCTAACAGATACATATTATCTTCTCCTCACTCCATTTCAACATTGTTACTTGCTGCAGGTTGGTGGTTACCCCTGCCACACAACCAATTTCAACTTTTTCCAATAAATTTCAACTGAAATTAATGAAGCACATTGTAGTCAAATAAGATTACTACTAAGCCAGGTGAAGTTGGTTTGCAGGTTGAGTCCAAACCTCTGGGTCTATAATAAATTCCACATTTCCAGAACTTTGCACTTTCCATTTAATTTTGTGTTGATTTATGAGTCAGTCTCCTCTATGCTAACTGTATATAAAAGAAACATGAACTCAGGGGAGGCAACAGTTAGTCTGTTATAATAAAAAATGTATACTGTTTATACCATTATTGCTGAGGAAATTAGGTAACATCCCTTCTAATACCATGCGCACAGGATACTGTAGCAAACCACTTAACTTGCAATAATAGAGTATTGACTAGGCATAGTGATATGCAAGACAGCACTCCTGCCAGATTAGATGAGTTCCCTGCTGTTAGAGAGTCTCTGTAGTAATATATTTGTTCCACCTTAACAACAAAAAAACTTTCCAAAAGAAAAAACCTCCAAGGCATAAGAAGATCAAAGTTAAATGAAATAAACACAAAATAGTACTTCTTCCCCTCAGTGGTGGCTTGGTGAATGGGGTAATCTGGAGCACTGCAGATATGCTACAAGAAGGTAATACAGTGTTCAACAAAAGGCACCCAGAAACACATGGTAGTGTGAGTAGTAGCTGTGAGAAACACTAGTTAGCTAACACTGCAAGCTCAGGCAAGGATCTCAAGCAACATTTTATCCGTGATTGTAACGGTGGGCATCTCATAAGCAGGAGAGCGCTTGCAGATGCAGTTTTCATATCTTTTATGCCCTGTTCCCCAACACTTACTCTTTCCTCTGGTTCCTCATTGGCTGAGTACTACAGGTTCACAACTACCTGACACTTGTTACTAGTTTCATACTAATTTTATCAACCTTTAACTCATCCCTTTGTTTTTTCTTACCTTTTGCAACCTTACTGTTTTGAACTGCCTTTTAGCTGGGCACATTCAGTGTTTTTCCCTTGATTATCAATCTAGTACTTGTTTCCCCACATAAATTGTGCCAACCCAGGAAACAACATGCCTTGCATTTCCTCTGCTTATGTTACAAATTCTGATCAAAAAAAAAACAAAATTTTTGCTCCCACAGCATCATACACAGAAAGCACTGCACATAGGCCTATGATTTTGAAGTCCTCTTCAGATAGTCTTCACAATATGTGACCATGCACCTTTCACAAAACTAAGAGGATATGCTGGGCGAACTTGCTCCTCCAAGCATGAAGCACTGTTACAGTTCTCAGTCCACTGGACCACATACCCTTAGCATTTAACAGACCTCAGCTCCATTTCCCAACTTCTCAGTACACTGCAGTACACAGCATAATACCAGCAACATTTGGCTGTTCGGGTAGGCAAAGCGAGCAGCTGTCTTAGGTCAAAGACCATGAGAAATAACCTAACACCCAAAGTCCATCTGCTTCCTGCCCCACCACCCTAACAGACACTCTTATTAATTGTAGCCGCTTCATGGATACAGAGCGGGGACTGGGGCAACACCTCCACTCCTCCCATTCTCCTGCAGTAGCAGGATGAACAAGGTCAACCCTTAATACTTTCCTCACCTTCTCAGAGTAACCATGGACACATCCCATCTGCTCTTTATGTGGAAGAGCACATCAGTTAGTGCTAAGCTGTGATCCAGCTTTGGGTTGACTCGACCTGTACAAGCATATCCTCTGACACAAATACCTAACACCTAAATTGCAAATGCGTAATTCCCCCAGATTTTCAGGTGGATTACCTTCCACTATCTGTAAAGTACTGTTTCATTAAAACACATCTTTTTATAGACAGCTGTACATACTAGCAAAAAAATCTCCATGCAAAGCAAAGCCATCTGCTCCTTTCAGAGAAAGTTTATATTTGATTCAAAAGCACAGAGGCAATCTGTAATTTAGTGCAAGTCTGGCTGGTTGGGCCTTTCTATTTTGCTAGTTTGTTTTTTCAAACAGGAGTTAAAGGTAGTTTTATGTACTACATTTGCCCTTGGGTCTTTCTGACAGGGGTTCTGTTTTTCAAAATCACATTTGTTAGTTTTTTTTCCTTAAGTATTCCTGTCTCCCATGTCACCACATAGAAGATAACAAAGCACCCATGGAGGGTTCACTGACAAAGGAGAAATAACAAGAGTGCCTATGCACTGAATGCTGTCAAATGCAGAAATTAAAAAACAAGTCTTCCAGATGCAGTGAGCTTGAAAAAAAGATTAACAAAGTGTACTACCCATAAATGTGGAACTAGAACTGTTCAGAGAGGGAAAACAAAGAGGAAAAAGAAAAAAAAAAAACACCCTGAGGCATTTGATCTTTTTTTGGGGACAGGTAACTGGAGAAGAACCAAAACATTTATCTCAAAAATTAAAATGCAGACTATTTCTCCCACAATGCTCAAGGTGTTTAAATATTTTGCAACATGGGGAATGCAGTTAGCAGAAGGGAGAAGTGGAACAACCAAATGTCAGCTCTCATGAGGCTTCAAAATATTTCTATTTTCTGCAGAAGCATTTGGAAGCAAAGAAGTAGAAGCTTTTAGAAATGAAAAAGGGAGTATGCGAAGTACAGACTGCTTCACAATTGTTTTTGTTTTACCAACAAACTGTTTTTACTGGAAAGAAATTTTCCACTTCAAGGTAGAGATTAAAGTTTTAGTTTACTAATTTTAACCTTATTTTTAGGGTTCTTCCTTAAAGACTTCACCTTGTACCAAGAAAAGAAGCTGATCTAGACCAAGGCAAAATTTACTCCCATGTACAAGTTTTGGTACCCCCAGAAGTCCCAGTGATTCAAAGAGTTCAGATCAAGGAATTCAAGTACTTTCTATCATGAGTAAGGATAAGAAAAATCTAGCCTTGTGTGCTATGCACATTAATTTAATAGCCATAAACTAAAAAGGCACTGTTTCCATACAGACCAACATTAGTATATATGTACCTTAATGATGACAGGGAACTCCTACACTGTAAAAATGTTGGAAGTCCTGCAAGGAAAGGGATTCAAGTGCTTTAGGAGAAGAACTCTTGTATTGCAAGAAGCTCCAAATATTGTAGTGCAGTTTGTTTGGGCATCAATCAGATGAATCTGTATGAAAAAGACACAGACAAAAATGAAAGCACTGGAGACTATGTGTACTCATACAGCTACATCCCAAATTCTTTTAATACCAACTTATCCAAGGGAGAAGAGAATATAGCAAGTACCTGCTTGCCGTAAGGCAGCCCAAGGCTCTTCACTTGTTATACCCTTGTAGCATTGTCCTTGGGTGAACATAACACTGCTAAGAATAAGGACATCTGAAAGAAAATTTTGGACGTGCATGGTCATTTATTGCTTTTGCTTAACAGAGTTTAACTCCCTTACTCTAGTGCTAAAAATAATAGCATTTTGTGCTTTGTTATCCATAATTATGTCAGGAATATTAAGCTTGTACAGAAGACCTGAACAGATAACAGAACAAGGCAGTCTTAGTAAGGAAATGATGAACTCACAGTTGAAGTCCATCATCACATGACTTGGAGTAACATCTAGCTTCTGTTTCCATCTTTAACTTCATCTTCCTGCCTAACACCTAATAACCTTTCTTGACTCAGCTTCCCTTCCTGTAAGACGGGAGTATTCATCATCTCTCTCAATGCTTTGAGGTGTTGTACAACTTCTCATTAACATCTGTAAAACGCTTTTCATTTCCCTACTGTGTGCATTAGCTCAGGAGAACAAGAATCATTCTGCAATTAAGATGTTTTTAGTGATGTCTTTGGAACTTTATACAAGTGAAGCCATGTATAAAGAAAGTACATGTATAAAAAAGTACAAATACAAAATTAACATAAATTAAAAATAAAATCATCGTAGATTAAAATACTAACACCTGCTAAAGAGAAATACAGTGTACAATACCTAGTCACCTAACAGCATGAAATTCTACATCTGGGGCACTAGTAGCCTACAGGAAAGAAGTAAAAAGGGCCTTAAGGGTCTATTAAATTTCATAAGCAAGCGATTTTTGAAAAAGATTGTCAGTCTTCCCATATAGAAATGGTGTAGCTCTTTATTGTCTGTGCCTAACAAGAGCTCTGATGTGGCAATTGGTTTGCTAACACTGCTGTTGCTCCAAGTGAAGACAAGGACAAGTGGGACTTTGCACAAATTGAACTAATCGGCAACACTTGATCAGCTCAATTAGTTCAAATCAACTCAAGTGTTTCTCTGTCTACCCTTAGAGCTTAACAGGGATGCAGTCAAACTAAAATGGCAGATCGCATGCGAAGAAACACAGACTGCCCCTGCTGGCTCTCCACACTGGCCAGAGGCTATCTTGTACAAGATTCACAGCTGTGTTAGCAAAACACCATGCCCTGCTGAGGTAGCCTTGTTCAATCCTTGCCTATGTCAACATGAACTGGGAATATTTATGAAGAAGACATATTGTTCATAATTAGAACACACCAAGCAGTACACCACAATCAATATCAGTGTTGTCACAAGAACTTCTGAATGAAGCCAGAACATGTGCATACCACATATAAGTTTCAAGTAAATGCAGCAAGATAGACCCGCTTTGAAGGACAATAAAAACACATCTATGTGTCCATCCTGAATCAGCCCTGAGATGTGAAGGTGTCTTGATGAACTGAAAGAAAATAAAAGGAAACCTAATCTGCTTGCTCACTTGGATCTCCTTCCTCTTTGCTCCGAGCTGTTACACCAAGACAGGGACAGATGACTGCACTGGAGAGTATCAGTGATTTTATTGACGAGTCCCTCAAATCATTACTTAAACAAAATAAGTTGTTCACTTCCCAGCTGGAGTCAAACAGACTGCTGACTGGTGTCTCAACCTTGGCTGAGGACAAACAAGGTTACCTTACCCAGTCAGGTCTTAGACCAAAACCCAGTTAGCCCACTGATCTGGCAAAAACCTTTGACAGGAGAATACCCAATGATGGTCCTTACTCAAACTGCTCCTCAGAAACTCAAGTTCCATGTCATCTCCCAAAGCAGGTATTTTTCTATAATCAACACAACTGCCAAGTCACTACATACAAGTCAATACTTTCTCTTCCTTTGCTTCATACTTAAAACACACAATACAATTCCTTTTAAGTTTTTCCCTTGTATCAAGTGGCATCATTTGTCTTCCTGTCATCCACAGCCTTGAAAAAAAAAATAAATCACTAGTTTCATTTAATTTCCTGCAATACCAACCCAAATGCATATCTGAAGCCACAGTTCTACTGCACTAAGCAGGGAAGAAAAGCAGAGGTGGTAAAGTTTCAGGTTTAAAGACATCCAAATTGCACATAAAAGCACACAAATTACTGTCAGTTTTCAGGAGTGAGGGATAAACCAGGATGAGATTCCTGCCAAACATACAAAACATCTTAAAAAAATAAACACACTATCACAAATGCACACAGTTGGTACGGTTGTTGTTTTTGAAGTAGGTTTTGGGAGTTGTTTTTAAAATGAATACTTCCTTGCCCAGTTGTAGCAGATTGACCTCTACGGGACTATCCACTTGTGTAAAAGCACATCTATCAGTCCCTAAGGGCTGACTACAAGTCAATATTCCATATCAGAAACACAAAGACACCGTCAGGATGTATCAGAGTGAGATGGATGTTTACTTCTTCATGCACGCACTTACTGTGAAGAAGAAAATGGTTAAACTGACTTCCAGACACAGAATAATGCAGTAACTGATTTAACTTACAGCCTGTACTGGTTTTGGCTGGGACAAAGCTAATTTTCTTCACAGTAGATCATACAGTGCTATGTTTTGAATTTGTGATGAAGGAATGAAGGAAATGTTGCTGACACAATGACGTTTTCTGCCCACAGTCACTTTCAGCTATTACAGCAGAGGGACTTACTGTGACAGAGGGTCATACCGTGTCCACAGTTAGTGCACCAGGTGTCAGATGACACTTGTCTAGAAAAAGTTAGTGAGAAGACAGCTAAAGGAGGTTATCATTCCTCAAATTCCCAATGAAGAGACTTCAGTGCTTTCAAGTTATCCTTTATGCTTTTACAAAAAGTAACCACCTTTAAAAGAATATGTCCTTAATTAGTAATAATGATCAGAATTCATAACTGCAGTATTTTCATTTTTCTGCTTTATTACTGGAGCAGCACGACCAACTATCAGCACTAGAGGAAAAACTAGACCTTATGTATCTTTCAGAACCTGTATTTTGGTGCTACTTCTGACAGTAATCATTCTAACTAAACCACAAATTAAGTACAACACAGCCAATTTGATCAAAAACAAAGTGTAGTATACTGCTTTAGTGCCTATTATCCTCCACACAGCCACTCAAGCAGAAATAAATATACTGTACAGGGGTGTTATGAGATTAATTAGTTTATAGCTACAAAACAATTTGAAGGTATAAAATCATGCTACAAGAATGCTAAGTGCTGTGAACAATATATATCTGGAAGTAAAGGTGAGCTTGCCAGAAATTATATGAGATTGTGACTGCGTGTTAAGTAATGGCAGAAGAAATTCAAGTTATTTTCTTGCTTAATGTAACGATCCCTGTCCCAGCCCATAAAACCATTGCTTCCAAGAAGTGAATATCAACTGGAACAAACAGCTCTCAGTAGTTCAACTGCTCTCCAGAGAACAGAATACACATCACTACCAAGTAAGGAATAGAAAATGAACAAAGCAAACAGACTCAAGCAGAGGAACTGGGCTGATGCCATTCTTTTATCCAAGAAGGGTCCAGAAAAGTTATCAGAGAAGCTTAAAAATAGAATACGCAGAAGAATTCTATCTTGTGTCAGTGCAGTGCCCATTAACCTCACTTTGCTTTTGCTGAACACTATGAACAGCAATGCCCCTAAAGCTGCTCAGAATGCTTTAGGGAGATCTATTTTTTATTTTTTTTTTACACACATGCACATGTATGCATGCCTATACATGCACACAAATTCAGTATAGAGGTCAAGGTCTCACCTCCAGTAGGTTTACCTCAAGGAATGGAAGCAGCTGCACACAAGTTTACAACTGTCAAGATGAGAAGCCATCTGCAAATCCATACAAGTCTCAGAGCGAGGAAGTGTCCAAAGCAGTGCACATGTCCAGTTTGAGCAAGTATTACTAAATAACAACAATGTTATAGAATAATACACTTTAATTAAATTTACCAAGTAAAAATATATAATGATGGTACAAACACAAACAGGAAATATATTGTATCAGCACTACTTAAGACTCCTATATTCCTACATCAGTACCCATCAATTTCAGAGTTAAGGATTCCTATGACACCATCCCCTTGTATACTACTACATAGCTAACCAGTGACATGCTATTCCCCAGAGCTGCAAACTTCGGCAGTCTGATCAACAAACTTACCTCTGATTAAAAAAATAAAGGGCAGGGAGTAAAAATTCAGTCTTTTTATCAAACGGTCACACCCTACAATCATACCTAGACAGCCTCAGAAAGCAAGTGCTCTTTGAGGAGCGGTTCTGCAGAGTACATGCATCAGGTAGGTAACACATATTCTATCTTCAAGCTGCTAAGAACAGGCAGCCCAAAGAATGAAACTGAAGTGGCAGCAGGAAGACTGTGGTACTCCTGCCTCTTGAACTTTCCTGCTTACAAGATTACTTCTTAAAGCATCCCAGCTTTAGCGACTAAACTCTCCCAAGCCTAGGAGTGGTCCCACACCCACTGCATTACACCACTAAGCCTGCGAGTTGAGATGCTGGGTCAACATGAAAACAAGAAGTCTAGCAATGTGTGAGAGCCTCCGGCTCTCCCATGGAAGATGCACATCTTCATGGAGATGAGAACAAACACCTCATGAAATACAGTCAGCATCTGCTATACTGACAGAATAGATTACCTGAACACTCTGTAATCCACAGGAGACATACAAAAGTGATGATATGATACTACCATGTGAATGGCTAGAACGAAGACTAGAAGAAAGACCAGGAGGATCTTACCTGCTAGACAGTGCAAAAATGAGTGACAGCCTACTCATCTCAAGGGGACAGATGGGCTAGCTGGTATGCAGAGCTTCTTGCTGAGCTGTGCACTCTTGACTCAGCTCTGCCTTCATCTTGTCCTCAAATCTGCAAACTGCCACAGAAGATGACAATCTTGTTGTTAAACTGCACATGCTGAGCTCCAGTTAAGTGGTCTGGACTACAACCAACACCCTATCATAACCATGTTCATCCTGGCCCCAAATTCAGCTTCACCATTCTCTTCTTCACAAACCATGTACATGAAGTAAACATTTCTATGCATACCATTATCACCACTTCTATAGCTAGATCTGAAACCAATGCTCATTACAGTGGAAGCAAGAGAGAAATATTTGCACTGTATTTTTCTAGTAGTAACTTAACTCACTGTCTCCTCAATTACTTAACATTTTTCCTTGCCATTCAGTTTACAGCACTAATTCAAGCATTTGAAAATCCAAGGTGTTTTCAAACCTTCTTCGCAAAACCTCCTAACAATAACTAGATTTACCAAGTTCTGCTGCACTGATCTTCCATCAACTCCATGACCAGTGTGGAAAACCTTCTCCTGAAGCTGAGAAGAAGGCAGCAGAGATTCAACACATGAAAAAGTAACGGGCAGAAGACACTCTCTCAGAGATCACTTTCCATAAAATTGAATTGGCAACATCTGCTCAATCTACTGTAGATAAACAGTGAACTATTTTCCATCTCATTAACTCAGAGGATGAGATATTAAATAAACCCCAGGGGCCTCATGCTTTGTTATCACGTTTAAGGCTTGTCCCCAACTCACCAAATTAGTTCTTCTGTGCAAGAGAGAATCTAAGAACAGAGTTGCCATTATACAGCAAATACATAGCATTTAAATCCCTAGATGACCTTAAAAAAAGTCCCTACTTAATCTGACTATGTTTCCAATTACTAGTCACTTAGCCTAAATTATTAACCATATCCTCGGCAGTGATGTATGGTACATGTAAATCTCCAAACAGCATTCTAATAGAATTAGATAATTCTATTAAACCACAAACAACTACCCATTAAATATTTATTAGAAAGTTTGCATTCACTTAAAATAGATTGGAATGTCAGCAAAACACTGTGCTAATCCCTTCTTCATTTCAGCCTTCTATGCTAAGGGTTCAAAATGAGCTCATCAGCATCACATTTATTGATTATGTACAAATTAGTTGGCTAATCAAAATCGATAAAAATAAAAAGATCCGAAAAGAATTTACAAAGTAGACTATGGATTTCTCTAAAAATACACTGTTTAAATAAGCAAGTTCATTAAACTCAGGATTGTTCGATTATGTAAAGCTTTTTAGCTCATTCTACCATAGGATAGGGGTGGTAAATGCCAACTAATTAAGTTTTCTTCGTAGCATCAAGGAACTACACTTCTCAAGGATGGAACTGTTTTAAACCACTTCAGATTTCAAGCATTTTAAGTTCTCAGTGCAGTGTGGCTGCATTTTTCCTACAGACTGTAGTCTAACCTGGAACCAGAACAACAACAAAAAAAACAGTAGGTCAAAAAACATAAGGACAAGCACTGCAAAATATTCAAAATCACATCGGGCACAACAGCAACCATTCATCCTCCATAAAGAAATGCTGAGGACAAGCAGACAGAACACAGGAGACAAGCAATCCAATGCCACGTGCTTGCAAGGGTAGTTGCAGAGGAGTTATACAAAACCAATATTTATGCCATTACACTGAGTGGCCAATCCCACTCTTGATCACCATAGTCTTACATAAATTCACATCCACATTTTGGTCATTCTGACAAAACCTTGCTTGCTACTCAAGTGTAACCAGCTCTCTAGGGACATCCTCTGGAGTCATCTCCTCCTCTTGGGTAAATACAAATCTACATTAGCTGAAGTAAGATTAAAAAGATGTCTCATGCAAGTACTGTTATGTTCCTGTCCCCCATGAAAATAGATATAGTTGTGTCCTTGAGCCCAAAGGTCATATTAAAGACAGCCAGTCCCTTACTCCCCCTCCTACTTCCTCAGAGATGTACTTTTCCATCCCTCCCATCTTATCTCCAACTTTTGTCCATAAAAATCTCTTCTGTGACCAACTCTGTACCACATTTGATGTGAACACTACAAGCACTGCTACATCACTAGGGATATGGTTTAGTGGGGACTGTTAGTGTTAGGTTAGAGGTTGGACTCGATGATCTTGAGGTCTCTTCCAACCTAGAAATTCTGTGATTCTGTGATTACGCAGGAGACACCAAACACCTCTGAAGATCCAAGTGGTTTAAAATGTTGACCTGTAGGTGCATGCTTTTTCTGTGAGGGAGAAGGAAATACAGGGCCGTCTCCATGCTTAGGTGAACTGTACACCAATGTTGGAAATCGCACAAAGGCATAAAAGCTAATCAGACAGATAGCACAGCGAATTTCAGTTAAAATTAGGACTCTGTATTCTCTTGTTTCTCCAAATTGTGGCAGCCTGCCTGCAGTCAAAATAAAAGGAATTGCTTTTCAAATTATCTGTTTTAAAATCCCTGTAGTGATATTAAGAGTAAAATAAATTCTTTTAGAAATGCTACACATAGCAAGACAGAATTTCTACTAACATCAATTCATTACTGTCATACACAGAAATACTCTCAGATTCATTTCAGTGTAAACTACACAGAAAACTAAGCATATGAAAAGCATATTTTCTAGCAAAAAAATCCAGTGACTTGCTGGTCGGAATGCCTGAATTTTACAAGAGAAAAAAAAAGCAAGCAGATCAAATTTCAATTCCATTTGTGTAAGGCTAACCAATTCACAAGATGAAACTCAAACTGGAACAGCCATGTCACCAGCTTATGGCATTTCATTCTACTTTTTTTTTTTTTTTTTTTTTTTTTTTGTGTTAAGATAGACCAACCATCTTTCCCTGTAAGGTGCCTCTGGTTGACTAAAAGGTGAGCATCCCTATTTCTCTCACCTGTCTGCCAATTCCAAGGATCAGGAAACAATGCCGTACTATTTTCTGTACTGACCTACATTTCTTGCAGGGACTGCAACAGAAGCAATATTAGGCTGTTCCTTGCTGTCAATAAATAAATAAATAAATAAACACTGCAGGAGCAATCTACTGCTACCATTGCTCCAGATCATTAATAAGGCAGAACAAAAAAAAATAAAAAAAATCTACACATCACACTTATGTAAGGGTATCTTGTACTCAGCTTCTTGCAAAGCCTGATTCCCCCAGGAAGCTCACTAACAGGGACTGGTCAGTGCCTGTATCTCTAAGTGTCCAGGGAAAGGTAAAGCCACCTGCTGCTGTCATCCTCTTGTCTTCCAGGGTCTGAGTGTTTTAGATGCTCATCTGAAGTTATTGCTGTTTTCACATATTTATTTCTGCAGGTCTTGGTTATCAAGTACAACTCCTCTGGTGGTAAGAAATGAGGCCTGATTCTGCATGGCACTGCACCTTGTCTGCAAGTCTACAAAAAGATACCAAGTGAGATAAAACTATTCCCTCAAATAGTAGCAATTTACAACCACTTTGCACAGGTGTAATTGACTGCAGAGAGCACAAGACAGGGAGAATCAGGCCTGATGAGGTTTTACAAGCAAGCAAAGCAAGCAGAAATTGGCCTTAAGTTTTGTACAATAGCCAGCACTTTAGCTCTTCACGTGGAAACTTCACAGCTGTGAAACATTTACAGAAAGGGAAAGCAATTACAGAACACTACCACTGGAGGAGTTTAAATAATTTAAGGTTCACTGTGTCTCTGATTCATTTTATTCCATTTTTTCCTCAAGACCAGATGCTGCTCATTTTAACACCCTTAATTTCCACACATGGAGCCGGGCTTCTCTTTTCAACTAAATGTATATACATTACATATGCCTCCAAGAAAACAAAGGGTGATTATTTCCAGAATGGAAGGCCACAGGTTCCCTTCCATACTCAAATGCTGGAAGGAGCCCCTTTTTGATCTCCAGGCTTTGATTTCAGAACCCATAAACCAGCTGTGCTAATTGATATGGGGCTGCTGTACATCTACAAAGAACTGTAATATCATTATAAAAAATGAACTAATGCATGTAAGGAAACATCAATATAAACTGACTCACACACATGTACACATATGTACATGTCAGACAGAACAAAGTGCTTGACTTGTTGTGGGTCAAGTATCATGCACTTTTTGGTCACATTTTATTAACCATCACCATTTCAAGATGTAGAATTAGAAGACATTTATAATTAGCTTTCTCTGCCAAGCCTTGATCATTCCTTTGAGTATATTCATTAGAACCTTGTTAATCTAAACACCATATAACCATATGTTACTGAAAAACTGCATTTTTAACATAAAGTTTCATCACTTAAAGAATACACTATCTACTTGAAATACACTAACTTATTAAAATCCAAGGTGGCCAAGGCTGGTATATGAGTGGCCAATTTTTTTGTGTTTGCATCCGCTGGAGTTGTGATTCTGTTCCCAACACCTTGCTCTCCTCAGATGTGTTCTTCATATAAGCTATGTACATACAAGATGACACATACCTGGCAGCTCTAACAAAGGTAACAATTAAAACCTTGGCTAAGATTATTTTTTTAATGCTCTTAGTTTCTAACTCAGGACCTAATTAGGGAAATTTGTTGAACTTTTTTTTTATTATTAATATTTTTTCTTATGCACTCACTCACTGTGTCTTTTTTTCCCTAAAGACAAACACTATGTCATTGCTAACTCCGATCAATAATGATGACAACCAAGGAGCAGGAAGTCCAACACAATACTTCAGTTAGCCAGAACAGAGATAAGCAAAGCCACATTAAGCAGAAGGTCTGTCTACTACTGACAACTGTATTGTTGAGGCAATAATATTCACAATGAGAAAACAGAATAGTAATTGCAGTACACGGTTGCAAGATAGTCAAACTCCCATACCCTTGTACTTGTACATACACCTGTACTTCTGGTGCATTTCTCAGCATTTTTTGCCTTTGGTCAACAAGCTTCCTGCCTTCACCAGCACTTTCAATCATATCCTACTTGAGCACTACAGCAGTTCTATGGATTTGTGTTGCATGCAAAAATACAGCATATTTGATGTGCTTATCAGACTCTGCTCTTTTTATATTAAATACTCAATGACTTACCTTTCTGGTATGAAGGATTGATTTCTTGGAAAGTCTTCCATTCAACAACTTGTCACAACAGTTTTGTTTCAGGACCAGTAACATGACTCTCAAATGACTGAAGTATTCTACTCTATTCATTTGCAGTCATGCAAGCCTTAGAGGAGAAAAACATCCGATTAGACTTCCATCAAAGAATACTCTATCGTAATTCCTAGCAGGAACTATGGCACCATTATCCAGACACTGCACACCCCTTTCATCTTCAGGGAAAACCTCCCTTGACTGATCTATGGAATACTGCAATTGATTTCACCTGCAGCTCTTATTGATTTTTACTTAAAAATAACAAAGGAAGAGATTCAAAGCCAACCCCCACCTTCTACTGACTATTCTGCCAAACCTCTTTTGTGGGATTTTGCATCATACTTGTAACCGAGTAAGAGTAGCAAACAGGTCAGACAAAAGTATTCACAGAAGGTGAATTTCCATTACTATGACCAAAAGAAAAGCACATAATCACAACAACACAATCACGACAGACATATGAAAAGTTCTTTTACCCATCAAATACCGCAGTAACAGCAGAAATATCTGCAGAAAATGCACCACCGGAAGAAAAGTTCTCCAGCAGAAGTAGATCTTTCTATCCACTGCTTTTTCAGTTAGCTTTATGATTACTACTGTAAGGCACAACACAGATGTGAACATTTTATACTCCTTGTTTGGCCTTACTATATTCTCCCATCTTCTACTATCCCCTATAGTTTGAGTAAGACCCTGGAACTACAATATTCCCCAAAGTAAAACCTAACTCTGCAAGACTGGAGAGAAAGAACAGCCTTGGCCTTTGCCACAAAGTAAGTAATTAGCAGCAGCATTTGAGTTTGACATTGCTGGACATAACCTAGAGGAAATATTACAGTAATTTAAAAAGAAACAAGAAAGTACAGACTCCATAGAAAAATGGCTGAAGTAAACATTACTGTATTGTCAAGTTCAATCCCTGCAATCGCACACATTTAGCACACGTCATCAGCCATGATCACAGCAAAGATGTAGGAATGGCCAACAGCCAAAGCCACACTCTAGTTTTGTACTCTCGTTGTGCCTTTTATCATAACCATCCGCTACTTCTTACATCTCACTTTTCCATAGCACAATAGAGGAAGACAAAGATCACCGAGACAAGGACCCAAGAAGTAATACATTTCCTGTGAAAGATCAGCTGATCTCCTTTAAGTTAGTCATTTCTTTTAATCCAAACCTGTACTATACTAGCCCAAGACAGTAAAAAAGACACAGGGAAAAGTTTTACTTATAATCAAGACCATGGTAAAGACTGCCTGAAAACTGATGGCAAAAACAACTCCCCATGTATATCACTGGACTGATTTCAGACTTGACTGGTAGAACTACATGCAGCAAGAACAATGCCCACAACAAACTAACAGCAGTGAAACATAGAAGGACAGGATGTGATTGCTGTTCATTGTCATGAGCAAAAGCTAAGAGCACTAGCCACTGACAGCATAAAGTTTTGTCCTGATGTATCAAGACACTCCAGGATTTCAGTCTTAGTGAGGTATATGAAAAACCATTAGCACCCATTTGAATCAACGTTTATCAAGTCCAACTTAAAAAAAAAAAAAAAAAAAAAAAAAGCACTCCTTAGTTTGCCAAGTCTTTGAGCTTGACTGCCCTGCAGACAATAGGAATTTGCCAGAATAGCTGCTCTGGAATATGTAGTACAAAGACCAAAGAAACTCAAGAGAAAACTTGCTCATAATGCACCATTAGCATCATGGGTCTCAGTGTCTCAATTAGATAGAAGAAACTTTACAAGTCTATACAAACTCATAGTTCACAGACTTTAAACTACTGCCTTAAGTGACATTAATCCAACCGAACCAGGAGAATGGGTTACACGAGAGCCAAAAAGCAGGAGGCTTTTTAAAAAAACCACACTGTTCAAGCACAACATCCAGCCCCATAACCTTTGAGGTCACAAATCATCTGACTAACTAGTCAGACTAATCTGACTACCACTGAGGGACAAAGACGTATTTGGAAGTATCTGCATAAGAAAATATACAGTTCTCAGGTGTCAAAATCTGAACTGCTGCCTGTTTTACTTACAGAAGAAAATTTGAAGAGGTTTATTTTTCAATGTTCTCTTTTTGAAGAGCGTAAGAACCTTGGTATCAGAGGAATCAGTAATTGGTAATGCCTTGCATGAAGCTCACCAGCATGACAGAGACCTCCTCATGACCCATACCAGTCACTGAATAATTTTTTTTTTGTTATTTGTTTTTAAAGAAATTCTAGGTTACAACAACATTCAGGTTAACAATAGTTGCCTTGATTCCACTTCCACATGAGTAGGTTGCCCATTTCAGTTTCTTAGGATGCAAAATCACCAAAACATCGTTTTTAGCCACATCCCACAGTGTCCTCTGCAACCAAATAACAGAAGTAACCCCCTGACATGGAGAACTTTTCTGTGATCCTCCATAAACGCTGAAGTACTTTCAAGCTTAGACTATTTAGCTATCAAGTAAATTTGGTAATAAACAAAATACTTCTACTGCTGTAAGAAAAAAAAGTTAATAGTTTGCAAGTAGCTGATAAAGCAAGCATCAGTAGGTTCCAAACCACTAATGCTTAAAAGACTTCATGTAGCAGTGGTATATTCTTTTACACAGTGGTAAGGAAAAGAGAATAACAGTAAAGTATACATAGAGGTATTTAGTTTATTTTACTGATGAGTTTCACATCATGAATTTCAAACAGCCAAAAACCTACCACAGGCCCAGCAAAAGGCAGTCTTCCTTGGAGCAGAACCTAGGAGAAGGGATGCATAAGATGAACTCCATAAACTGAAGAGTAATCAAACTAAAAACAGCAGTTGATTTATCTGAATAGAGAAAGGGAAAATGTGCAATATCTTCACTATATGGATGGCTGGGTAGACTAAATGACTGTCACACAGAAAGCATATCTATAAGCACTGCAGAAAGCCTTAAGATTTTACCAAAATAAATGACTGGTTTCAATCAAACACTGCTAATGCAAAAGGCATGGCCCCCAGGAGTAATTACCAGTCTTTACTGAAACAAAGGGCAATTACAACAACTCAAGTATGCTCACAATAACTGAGCACTTGATTATAGAGTGCTACAGCAATCAGACAGAAAAAAACACACCACAGACGTTGTGTATTCCTATGCAGTCCTCCTTGGATATTACTGCTTGGTGAGGGAGGGGTTCCCAAACAGGCTAACCTAAGTTAGGGTATGCAAAGCTTAAGTTTTGATTTGTAAAACATAGAATTGCTTCAAAGCATTTGTTAAGCATAGAAAAGGGAAAAAAGGTGCAATGCAAGAGACTAGAGATCCAACTCACTGTGGTCTTGCCGACGTGGAATCGTGACTGTGCAACAACCAGCCGATGGCCGCAGCAGAACTGCTGCTAGCCTACAAGGTGGTAAGACAAGCGACACACTGCCTTGCCTCCTCCTGCCTAGAGGAAGACTTGTCTAGACTTTGCCTTCACAGCAGAGAGTTTAAGAAAGGCTAACAGAACTGTTACTACCCTCAGTATACAGCTGTAGCAGTATACAGCAGTAGCACAAAGTATTTTCCAACAAAGAAGCTCAGGTTACTTATAAAGCCAAATAAATTTTGGCATCACTCCTTTCACATTTCAAATCAGGTTATAAAAATTTCCCTCACCTCAGTAAAATCTCCACAGAGGCAAAACTAGTAGAGATAGCACAGAGAAGAGCTCTTCTTCACCTTGGCAAGTAGCCTGTGATGTAGCGCCTCGGGCAAGAGGCTTCTCGCAATCACACGTGCAGTTCAGGGCTCCACTGGAGTTCAGCAGATGTCACAAGTTCCAGCACACAGGAGAGCTCTCACATCACTCCAGGTGTCCACACAGGGTTTCAACAGCACCCTGAGCTCTAACTGCATGAACTAGCTTACGTTACATTAACTACCCTTGGCAGAATTCAACTTCAGGCTTTCCTCCCAAGCACCACTCATACATGCACATTTACCACACAAAACGGACCCTGCCTCCATTTTAGTTTCATCCTAGATTTTCCTGCTGTCTAGAGGCCTGAAGGCTGGTGTGGACTCCTCAAGTAGAGATAAAGTATGGCAAAGTTCACAGAAGACAGGTCACACAAATTCACTGAATTGTCATGCTGCATGAAATGGCAACATCAGTATCACATCCTTCTGATCACATCCTTCAGTATCACACCCTTCTGATCAAGGCCACCCAGAATGCCCAAGTAACACCACAAGACCATCACTCTTGAACTCTATTTATCTTCTGGTTGTAGGTGCCCCCCCCACTCTAGAGAAAGCAAACCCCTGCCCCCTGCTGCACACACACACACACACACACACAGAGGAGCTCGTGCCCCAGGAGCTGCAGCCCATATCAGCCAAGTTCCCCTGGGATACTGCAGTCTTGTTTATGCCACTACAGGGCTGTTATTTTCTCTCTGTAAACCACAATACAGCAAAAATGAGCTGCATAAAATACCCATAATCCCTGTCCTCATTCATATTTTCAGGTGCTTCTGCTCAGCCATTCCCCCAAGCACAGATGCGCTGTGTATAGAACACTTGGACATGAACAAAACCTGAGCGGTGAAGGCAGCCAGCCCTGTCCTCAGGCTGCTGGGAGGACCGGCCTTCAGCCACGTCTCCAGGACACAGCCCAGAGCGTGGAGGAAGATGAGCAAGGAAAACAGCACCTTCCCACAAGGTGTACACAGCCAGCTAACCCAGGGCGTTCCCTCACACACGTGCTCCCCAGCTCCCACCTCAAGGGAAAGCACTGAGCAACATCACTGCACACAAGGAAAGTATGATGCACAGTGCTTCATGTGTTTTTCCACCCCCCTTCACTTCCTCCATCTCCTACTCATTTTACGCTAAGTAACTCCTTATGAGCAGGAATCACTCCTCCACTGCATCAAATGGAGCCACTAAAGTCATAGTCCCCTATCACAAAAGCCACAGGCTTTACCTTGAGAGGCTTTCTTCTACCACTTCTTTCTCCAACTCTCCATCTGTTTTTGTGGTTCCTGGCACCAGACAGCAAATGACTTAAAAAGCAACCAAAATGTTTAAGTCAGAGTGGGGTCTAGTCAGGATTTACAACAGAGTACAACTCATCTTTAGTTGGGTGCTTAACTCTCCTGAAATTCAGTGTAGTGTCCCCCCCCCAACTCCCCCCCATCAAAAGCCATGGTCTATATATCAGTTACCCAATTAACATTATTCAAGTGCTGATATTCTCATATTCCATTAGATCTTCAGTGATAGGAGAAACAGCAGCAAGACTATTTTCATCAGCCACTTAGTACTAATTTCTACAGTGTTAAGTGTTATTGTGATTTTTCCCCTTTATTTCTTAACAATAGCGTTTGACTACCCTACCACTTTCATTCCACATCATTCAGCTTGAATTAGTATAAATAAAATTAGACAATTATGAACCATGAAAGATATATGAGTCAATTTAAACTTAAAATAACTTTTTTTCCTGACTTTTGCATTTTTTGGCTATCTTGTGATGATGATTTCAGATCTTTATATACTTAGATCATCAATAAAACAAAGCAGTTAAGTAGCAAGCAGGTAATGACTGAACCTGGCACAACACAAGTAGTATCCACGTTTGAGATAAAAATAACATTCTTCATTGAACTATTTTATTCTCACTGCATGTGCTGCTCAACCTCTTTAGCTCATCATCTTCAAATCTACCCATGTAATCAATATATGCCAACACATCACAAAACAAAACAAGCTAAAAATAAAAGAGCAAGTTATTCACAGGTGGTTCTCAAGCTGTGGCCTATGTTTTCTTTTTCTTATTATAGATATGCAAAGCAGTCCACAATCATTTCAGAAGACAGACATAAACATACATCCTCCAAAAACATTGAAGCTGCATGTCCTCAAATTTAAAAAAAAAAACAACAAACATTTAAGAAGTGGAAATGACATCTCCCCAGCTTTTTTGTTTCACAAAATGCAGGTACGCTGAACTAACCCAGAATATGTTTTCAGACCAGCTGTCTTCCTGAGTACTATCTTAATACTGAACCTTTTGAGACTTCCTCATCTCCTAATATTAATTTTTATTTCAGAAAGTTTCTTGTGCATTAGCGTAAAGACACTGAAATTTCCAGGAACATATCAAAAATGGGATGGAACAGGTTCCTTCCTGTAATAGAGGTAATCTTGGTCACTAAACTTGATTGACCCATCCTTTGTGTGTGGAAGCCCAGAACTACATTACCTGGTCAAGCTGCATCTGTGACCTTTGCACATAAACACAGACGTCCCTGTGCCTGAACTAAAAGTTCAGGACTCTTTTATTGAAGGCAGTTAGGCTCTTCAAAAAGCCCAGAAACAGGGGAAACCAAGTTCTGTACCAACTTCGTCTGAGTTATATTTATTACGTGAGTAATTGCCAAGCTGCCTAAGGAATCTCAATGTCCAATTCACATAATGCAAATAACCATTTTAATAATAGTGTAACATCTTCAGGTTCAGTCAAACCTTATTAAGGCATAGCTTCACATAAAAATGAAAAAAATATATTAACAACTTTCCATACAGATCTGTTTAACTAGAGAATGACTTCCATTGATCTAGACGTGGGTTCATTCTTTCCCTTCAACTTGGAACACCCTGCCCTTCTCTCGTATTTCAGTCTTCAACCCTTTGCCCTGGCTTACCCTGAATACATCTCCCCCTTTCTGTGTGTACCATGCTTTAGCAAGTTTCCCTCATGTTGACTGAGGGAACCTATGCTTTCTTTGGCACAGAGTTCTACAATGCCATGAGTCTAGTAACAAACCATTGGTTAACGCAGAGTCTGACCAAACGCTCTGCGCTACGAGATATTTTAAGTGCACTTGCAAAGGGTTTTTGTTTGCTTTGAAGCATTGGGAAAAAGCAGCAGACAGCAAGAGCAATTAAAAAATTCTCCTGAAATATAAAATGTAAGGAATGTTCCAGCAATTAACGTCAATAGAGGGTTTGAAGGGTAAACCTTGAGTCTCTGATATTCGGGGGGGTTCAGAATAACTGCTAACTATTGTGACTATTGCATGGGACACCACGCAAGTCTCTGATATCCGGCCAAGATGGACAAAGGAGAAGGACAAGGACAAAGCCCGGGAGGAAGGCTACGAGCCTTCAGCATGAGAGACCCCCAGAGGGACCACTGGAGACTGATACTCATGCGCCAGTGCGGGGGGGTTGGGTTGGACTCCAGGAACTAATTATAATAACCCTGCCTTTTCTAGAAGTAGTAATGAATACGTATTAGCCTAAGAGCATAAAAACCAACTGCCTGATGTAACGTGGGTGTGTGTTGGAGGAGCGCAGATTCCCCACGCACCCAGCGCTGTTTACTTGCCTTTTATTAACCCCATAAATAAATCTTATAAAGCTAAATTGACTCAGAGTTTATAACACAAAAGATAGATGCATTGTAGTCAGGAATGTTTTAAGCCCTCAAATACTGCCACATCATCATGACTGGATGCTGAGATGCTGAGAACACTTACAGAAGAGCAGAGGCTATGTAAGCATCTGCGTGCAGGCAGTTTGAAGGTTCTCTGCTGAGACTGCTAACAACAATGCTATGTGGTGCAGATCCAGTGTTGGGTCTAAGATAAATGTACTTCTCTTGCGCAGCTTGAGAGCAGTATGAGACGCAACTTTACTTAATAACACTACACCCACCTTTGAAGAACTTGACTTTCACTTGCCTCCTTCAAGGCTTTTGTGCTTTGTCTGAACACAATTTTGTGTGTGTGTGGCCTTCACACTTTACCTTGAAGAGTCACACAGCTTCACAAAGTACAGAAGAGGGAGGGGGGAAAGAAAGAGGAAAAAAAAAAAATAATAAATCTTCTCACACAAGAGACAGATGCTCTCAGCTTAAGGAAAGGGATTCATTTTTATGGAGTACAATAAAAAGAAAGGGTGAGGGAGGAGATGTGTCCATCTGTTGCTATCAAGCCATACAACACGCACAGGAGCCCAACATCACATTCAATTACTATTTTCACTAGAGCACTAATTAATCAATTCAAGACACCTTTTCTGTCTCCCACACCTCCCTGCCTCAGTGTCATTTACACTGTATAATGTTGCTAATGAAAACAACCTAGTGGCTTAACATCCATAGCATTAGCATCACTTCCCCACCCTCTGCCTCTTCCACCTAACATATAAATCAGGCTATTAGAACACCAAACCTTCTGCATGGCTTTGGCAGAGGCTTGTCATCTCAAGCCACACAAGCACATTTGTTACCAGCTGTAAAAGTGGCCTGAAGAAACTTCGTTAGTGATGCCTGAAGCACCTCCACACCTGCAAGCCCTCCTCATGGCATCTGCACTGAGGCAGAGAGATACCTGAGCTAAGCTGACAGCTGGTCTTCTGCCTGCAGCTTTCTAACAACAAAGACATCCAAGAACAAGAGTCCAGCAGAGGCACACCTTGAGTTCTGCTACTAGTGAGAGCTTAAAAGCAGGCTAACAGTGCCCCTTGCCCCTCTCTGGCTTCGTATATCTGAATTAAAGAGGAAAATAGTTTCAATTTTTACTTTGGAGAATGACTTTGTTTTCCTTTCCAGATAAGTGCTGCATTTTCCCTCAAAACATAATGTTTATTTGTGCTGAATCTTGGAATAAAAATAATAAAAATTATAAACAGGAGTAGCTTGAGAAGTCCCTAGTTGTCAAGTAGCACTCGCACCATACACTAGAAAGCCTAGATACTGTTAAAGCCTTGTTTAAGCTAGACTTTCACGCTACCTTTAAGGTGTTTTTTTTGTTTTGTTTTGTTTTTAAAAAAGTCAACTAAATTTACCATCATTTCAAACAGAAGATTTTTTTTTTTTTAAAGCAGTACGTAACATTTTCAGCTGTCAGCTAAAAGCACCCCTCTGCAGACAGCATAATAGCCTTGAAGCTTGTACGAACCCCATTCTGAAGGGGGCTGATCCACAGAAACAGAACAGATTTACAGAATCACAGAATCATCTAGGTTGGAAGAGACCTCCAAGATCACTGAGTCCAACCTCTGACCTAACACTAACAGTCCCCACTAAACCATATCACTAAGCTCTACATCTAAATGTCTTTTAAAGACCTCCAGGGATGGTGACTCCACCACTTCCCTGGGCAGCCTGTTCCAGTGCCTAACAACCCTTTCGGTAAAGAAGTTCTTCCTAAGATCCAACCTAAACTTCCCCTGGCACAACTTTAGCCCATTCCCCCTTGTCCTGTCACCAGGCACATGGGAGAACAGACCAACCCCCACCTCATTACAGCCTCCTTTAAGGTACCTGTAGAGAGCAATAAGGTCGCCCCTGAGCCTCCTTAGTTTTCTCATAATGAGATCACTAAGTTCACTTAACACCTGTTGTTTTACAGCAACCTTTTAAAATACAAAAACTGAAAGAGATTCTTCTTCTTGAAGATTTAAGAAACCATGCAAGGGGGTTATGGTTTGGGGTCTCCCTGCCCCGTGCTGTAAGTGTTCCAGATATCGAAGTGGCCATCTACCTGAACAGATAAAAGTGAACTGGAAATTTGAGCAGTCAGGTGTTCTTTGATGCTACTGGGTTATTTTTTAAAATCTCAACAGTCAATCTAATTTCTTTGAACAGCTCCAAAGAACAAATCAAAATGTACACATTTTGTTAAATGGCATCATTAACATATCTTGGTAACATTTGCATAGCACTAAAGAAATAATAACCCCAGAAAAAAAAAAAAAAAAGAAAAAAGAAAAAAAAAAAGATCTGGAAGACAAAAAAAAATAAGTGAGAATGAGTTATTTTAACTGAAAGCATTTAAGCATTTTTACTTTGAAGACAGAATCAGACATTTTCTGGAACAACTGTCACAATACTACAAAGAAGATGAACATTTCCAAATCCCACCCTGCCCACCTTGAAACAGTTTCTAGGACTCAGGGAAAAAAACCTGCTGTTCAGTTTTGATATTTAGTAAGAATTTTCAATACACTTTCTTCACTTAAGAAAAAGAAGCTACAGAAAAATGGAAGAGAGAACAAGTTCACTCTCAACTTTGATCTCAAATCATTTACATTTGTTGTTATAAAATCTGGGAGGGTGTTTTCACTGAAGGTTGTGTGCACTACAGTATCTACTGCTTAGGGTTAAAGCTGTAAGAAAGCTCAAGTCATTTCCTTGAAAAAAGTCGCCAAAAAGTTCTGATTAAAAACAAAAAACAAACAAAAAAAAAAAAACAACAACAACAAGAATTGCTGTATTTTCATAGTAAGTCCACATGCATCAAACAAGATTTTTTTTTCTTAAAAAAAAAAAGTAAATTATTTTACATTTTTTAACTGAAAATGACAGCAAAAGGTTTTCTGGGATACTATTTGAATCACAACTGTTTTAAACATTTAAAGCCTGGTTCTGCAAACACTTAGTGGAACATAAAGCTTATTGCAGATGAGCCAGGGCTTCAGCTAGCTCATAATTGAGTGCATCAAAGTAACTGAGAAGAGATCAAAGTTTTCTTAGAGAGCTTTCATTCTCCTTGTTCAGACATCGTAACTTCCATGCAAGTTCCTTATGAGCCTCTACAAACAGCAAACTCCCATATCTTGCTATACCTGGGATGACAGACCAGATGTATTCCATTATAGCTTCCTTCTCCAACAGTTTGGATAACTTGTGGAGTTAGTCCTCTCATTTCTGTTTTGCCCCAGATTAAGGTTTACATTGTGAGCACACTGAAGTAACACACACCCAGGGATCTCAAGGAACAGCTTATGGGTAAATGTGACACTATCAAGTCAGTCACAAAATCACCCAGCATAAAAAAATTATCTTAAGGACCTTAGTAATTACATTTATTTGCTGGTCTGAGATACCAGCTGCTTGATCTGCATTGGTCTGACCCTCCTTTCAAATTCCATATGCTAGCTTCCTACGACAGCGAACACCAGGAGCTGTGATAATGCAACCTGTCCAGGAAGATTAAACACAGAGGTAAAGGCTGAGGTAATAAACGATCTGTGAGCTGAGAGCCTGAACCTTGAGAGCTTGAGAACTATGGATCAGTGAGTTTTAGATGCAAAAAAAAATGACGGAGGAAAAGGAAGAAGTGAACCAAGAGGCAAGTCTGCAACAATCAAGTTGACAGAGTGGAAATACCTTGGTAATTAATGTCAGCAAACAAAGACTGACAAAGGTTTAGAGAACAAGGGAAAACAACATGTAAGCAAAGCATCTTTTGCCCACAAACATCATTTCAACTGTCCTGAACCGGCTTTGGCATTCCCAACTCTAATCTGCTTCATAAAAAACAACAGAAATTGAAATTTTGAATATGCATGATACACTGATATTTTAAGGCTTTATTTTCTTTTTTAGGTAGCAGCTTAGCTGAAGGGATTGACGTGGATAGCTAATTATGGCTCACACTACTTTGCCAATTGAGTTGGTTAACTATGTCTGAATACCTGTGCAGGTGCCACATACCCAAAGAAGAATTAAAACCGCTTCATTTTTACTCATCACATGCCATCAGTTCCTATCTTTATTCGCTGTATTCTGTTGCCATCACTGCGATTCTTTTGAGACACTTCTCTTTGCTGATAAATGAGAGAAGGAAAACATAATTAGTAGTAAAGAATGCAATCTATCAGTTTCCACAGAACTACAGAAGTATTTCTGGACATAATTATGTATTTAGAGAAGTTGGAGAATAAAAAACCTCACTGGATCAAATGGCTGACAATGTGCTATGCTGCTGAAAATTGTCAGCTCCTGAGTCACCAGCTTTAAAAGCAGAGCCTGCCAGGAGAGACAAGGCCATCACACAACCACAGCCACTTGCAGGCTCTTGTTCCTATGTTCAAGGGACAACCATCAAGAAGACAACTGTAGATGGCTTTTCAATTCCTGCTGACTTCTACACAATTTGGTTAAATCTTGTGCAGGGCCAGACCTTTCACTGCTGAGCCTGGACAATGCCTAGCACACAGCCAGCTCGATCCGTAACATAGAATGTTTCACTTAACACGCCTTGCAATTATTTATATTATAGCAAGAGAAAAGTTACTAGCACTTAGTCTAGTACCCAAAAGCATTATATGTCTGGAAGACTATGAAGGAATCACAGAATTGTAGGGATTGGAAGGGACCTCAAGAAATCATTGGGTCCAACCCAATGCCAAAGCAGATTACCCCCCAGCCAAAGCAGGTAAGGAAGGAAGACTGCAAAATGTTTCTCCCATGATCAAGGGTATTCTTAGGAATTAAACCACTTAAGGTTTCCATTAACAGAACTTGGTTTTGATTAAATCTCACTACTCGCTCTACTCCAGCAATGGCATCATTATGGTTCTGATAAGGTGATGTTAGACTGCATCATGCTTTACAGTCCCATGTGAACTTCCAGTGATGATGGAAGAATTTTTTCCCCTTTACTTTTCCCCAAACAGCCTATCTCTTACAACTTGTTTGATCTGTCTTTCCTGTTCCTTTCCTCCCCTTAGTTCTAAATCTCCCCTCACTCTCCACTCCCAAAAAGCCCTCTCACACCTAATATCTCCCCTTCTGTGCCTCCAGGTGCAGCGCTGAGCAAGCTGCCCCATTCCAAGCTCCAGGAAGGACTGACAATCAGTCATCCCTGCAAACCTCCCTCCCAAGCCTCTTCTGAAAACAAAAAAAAAGTGAGCCTATGTGATTTTGTTCAAAAATTCCTAATAACCTAATGGTACATACATCTCTGTTTTCTCCTCTTCCCTACCAGTTACGTTGTAGTGGCAGCAATAGTACTAAGATGAGGGACCCAGTACCACACAGCAATATGCTATGGTAGGTGAATAATGAGCAGAATCACTTGGTATTGCCTCAAAGTATTTATGTTGTCAAAAAAAAAAAAAAAAAAAAAAAAAAAAAACTAAATCCGTGGTTTAAGGGTTCTGGTATTACCACACCATTAGAGTGAAATAAACCCAAACAA